AAGATGGGGACGAAGAAAGTGGAGAACTTGCGAGGCGGGTATGTTGTAGTAACCGGCTGTAGCTGAGGGCGGTATGGTGCGCTGGCATATGCCCCTAAGTCGCGCCATCTAGTCGCCAGGTCTGCAATCCATCCCCGAGAAGAGCTCGAGTGGAATCCATATTTCGGGCGTAGCTCCATAGCCCTTCCCCGAGCATCGTCTCCCAGCAGCGACCATCTCCAAGCGACGGGGCGCCCTCGGGGAGTTAGGGGTACAGGACGATGGTGGTGGTAGAGTCTTGTAAGGTGTACTGCAATGCGTCAACCAGAGGTCGTGACGGCGCTGATCTATGTGGAACTCCCCAGACCCCCCGGTTCACATCCTTGTGCAAGCCGTAGTTTGGCGGTAAACACATAGCATGTCCCTGTCATTGGGTTGGGCGGCGAGTCCGCGAGGTAGTGGATGACACGATGGATGTGCGGTTCTAACCCGCGATCCGGGGACACGACGCGCTCAAACCTAGACCACCACCACCATCATTCCGACGCTCCAGCGTTCGCCTAGGATCCATCAGTCGCTACCGTAGAGCTGCCTGGTGATATGACCGATGAAGAAAGGTATGCATCCTGACAATGGTGGTTTGTAAATACACATTGTTTAACGGCTTTACAGTGAATCCGTACGAGACGCGTGGATTGGCTTCCTGTGCTCACAGACCGACCACCTCCTCCCTCAGTTCGCTGTATGCCCCCTGGACCTTGCGAAAGCCCGTGGTGTACTTGAAGAACACCTGGCCGCGGTGCGCGTAGCTGAAAACCTGCTATACCAACGCTTTAACACCATGCTCCCCGTACATCGCCTTCCCGACGAGCTCCTAGCACACATCATGGTGTATACTTGCGCGGCGGACGAATCGTCATGTTACCTTCCCGTGAAACTTATGACAGTCTGCCAAAGGTGGTACACTGTCGTCACCTCCTTTCCCGAGGTCTGGGGATCTCCGCCGCCCCGTTTTACCGAAAGAGGCATCCAGTCCATACTCTCGCGCTCCAAGTCTACCCCTCTGCATATCAGCTGGAACATGCCTGGCCTTTCCGTGACGGACACATTGAACCGGGCTCCCTTTGGCCTACTCATGCCCAGATGCCAAAGCCTTGCTCTGGCGGCCACACCTACTATACTACAAGTTATCCTACCCTCCTTCGGCCGCGAAGAAGCTCCATGTCTTCGAGAATTGTCTGTGACAGCGAACGAAGAAAGTGACGACGAAGACGCGGAAATGACGGCTTCACGGTGGCCAGCAAACCTTTTCAAGGGCAGCACTCCACGCCTTCGCGAATTGACTTTGAACGACTTTGCTTGCTTTGATTGGTCACATGCATTGCTTCGTGCGCCGTTGACGAGTTTGGTCGTTGACTTCGTTGACAGCGACTATTTATGCGCAAAGGATCTGGATCTGGATAGTCCACATCGAGCTGGGTGCTCACTCCAAAGTCTAGTCGACGCGATAGAGTGCTTGCCGAGCTTGGAGAAGCTCGACTTGAGACATTGCTTATCCACCTCTTTGCTTTTCGGCGCCTCTGCTGCTCGGCCGAGGGTGAAGTTGCAAAACTTGCGGAACCTGGCCGTTGAAGACAACCCGCGATCCTGCAACCTCTTCAACGAGTGCATCTCCCTTAACTTTACCCAGACGTCTGTCGCATACAAGTTTGGTCTCTCAGATGACCACAACTCGGAGGATATGGCGACATTCCTGCGTTCAATCCCCCTCGAGAGTTTCTCCTATCTGGATGTTGTCGTTCACCAATTCTCATCCAAAGATGTTCGGAGTATACTCTTCTACTTCAACAACAACGACTCGGAGAAGCTTGGTTATCATTTGAGTCTCCAAGCAGACATACATGCCGCACCCGACGAAACTTCTGAGTATTACCGCAAACTCTTGGTTACGATGGCCGCTTCTCTCCGACTACAGCATATCTTTTCTCTTCGTGTTGCCATAGGTCAGAGAGCCGGCAAGATCACTGTGCCGATGTGGCTCAACGCCTTCGCCCATGCATCCCGGGTCAGTCAACTGCACGTCGGGTCAAGCGAAGTTCCGTCTCTATCGCATGCACTATGTTATCGGCAATCGTCGACGCCAAAGGCCTCCCCGAGGCTCTTTCAGCGTCTTGCGGCGGTATATCCAGCCGGTACGACCAGACGAGACATGTTCTTCCTTGAGCGTGCGGTAGAGATACGCGCTCCTGGCCGTTCTCTGGGATATTTCTACGTCGTACCCAACATTCATCAAGTCAGTATCGCAACATGGCGTCCCCGCGTTTACTGCGTCGATCAAGATGGGAAGCGAACAGTTTGGCGGCCTCCCAATCCTCTCAAGGTGGGCTCATCAACAGTACCAATAACATGCACCCGTGTTGATGATCAGCATTGATTTAGCGGCATATTCTTCCCGGACGCCATTCCCATGAGTTCAATGTGAGCACAGCTATCGAAGCAATGCGCATCAAGAAGTGAGTGCTCCCTTCCTCTGGATCGGAGAGATACTCAAGCGGCAACACAGGCGCGCGAAAAGAAAAGGCAAGCAGCCACACATATCTGCCACAGAGCACGAAGAGGCATTACGAGATGTATATGAGGATATCTATCTGTACGCTTGACTGTGTAAATATGGCGATTGCAGACTGTACAGAGGGTTGCATTGGGAAAGCACTGGTCGTCGATCAAGCGATAGTAACACACCCAACGGATATAACACCGAGGTGACACGGAAGATGTAACATGACCGGATGAGCATACTCTGTAGTGTTAACCTAGGAGTGCACCTCTTATGATCCCAGCACATCGGTATCAGTATACCAGTCACATTTGATCCCCCTCTAACGCGATACGGGAAGGCTGAGCTGATTTTTCTAGTGATTATCTACTAATTGTATCAGGTTAATGGTGTGTTCAGGCGGCGTTGACAGCATGCGTATACAAGTATCTACAACAAACAACAGTACAACATACATAGCACATTCATTCCATCGCGTCCCAAGCAGCAGTACGTATCCCAAGATCGCGCACGCTGGACACAGCAATCAACAGCGGATGGTCCTTCTCGAACATGCTCAACACCTTCGCCATATCCTCAAGCACGAAGTCCTCCATTTCCTCTAGTAGAGCCATATCTTGCCTCTCGTCTTCGCCGATTGGCCCGCGCCCGCTGCGAGATTTGCGCCGCTCAGCCAGTGTTGCTAGCTGACGCTTACTGGCGTCGATGATAGAGGCGTGATAGTCGGGAGGAAGGGTGCTCGGCCCACCGAGCAGCAGCAAGCATTTGTGGTAGCACTCGTATAGCGACGCGAGGAAGGTGGTATCTGTTTCGCTCGCAATACAGGATGTGAGTTGCGAGAAGACAGCGGCGACCATAGCATTCGTCAGGGTATTGCTTGTACGACCGCATGTCAGCAGCAGAGGGAGAAGCCTGCGAAGTGTCAGTATGATACTCATCTCGGACGAATCAGACACGTACGTTGTTCCAGCTTCCCTTACGCCGTCGTGGAAGTAAAACCTGAGCGCAGGTAACGCGAGCTCGAGCGTCTGAGATAGATATGGCGCAAAAGCGATGCCAAGCGTTGAACAATGGATGGCGAGCGTCTCGAACGCTTGGTTCTTCTCCTCGATGGCAGCTGTTCGGACGGATACGCGCTGCCCGTCAAGCTTCATGACTTCCCAACCTTCGACAGGATCGCCGAGGTCTTCGGTCTCTGCATCGCTCGGTGAGTACACGGGTAGCTCTGAGCGACTTTAAGGGCATACCCAGTACACTGACTTCCGCTTTCGCGCTTGCTGCACGCAGTAGCGGTGGCATGACAGCGGGAAGCCACGGTTCGAACTCAGGCCCCAGCGCTTGACATACCTTTGCCCAAGTGGCAATGAGGTACGAAGGCAGAAGCGCATCACCGGGATCTGGAGGTGAATCTGAGGAGCAATAGGAGTCAACGATCAAGGGCGATGAGCATCAGCGGCACAGTCGTACTCTGTATCCGCATGAGCACCTCGACCAGTGCTGGGGCATCCGCGCGAAAAACGTCTGTACCGACAGCAATCGCTACGCGGAATCAGTGACGCCTAAGCAGACGTTATCGTAGACGTACCGATGAGGCCTGCGCACTCCATCGCTTTCGCGCGCAGCTTGCGGTACTCCGGCGCCTCTGCACTTCGAAGTATACCGAGCAAGAGCGGCATGATCGCGGGGTAGTGCTAGAACTGCATCAGCATTCGGATCACTATGTTCAAGTCCAAGAGTCAGTCACCTTGGCGAACGTCGCTTCGCTAGCATCTGCGACCATAGCAAGGGTTGTCACAACTTGCTCTTGAACGTAGCGCTGCGCCACTCTGCCACTTCCATCCGGAGGGTTGAGTAGTGCCAGTAGTCGCTCGACGATTGGATCCAGATACGGGACCAGCGTTTCTTGACGGACACCTTCGCAGAAGTTGATGAGGGCTGCGGCCGCGTGCGCGTGAACTCTGCACCCATTCAGATCCTGGTCTTCAACAACTCCTGCAAGAACTCACCGTGGCTCCGGTGCCTCGAGGGTCGGAATGAGTACAGCGAAGATCGGTTGGTGGTATTCTGCCTGGATAATCTCCTGAGGAGAGGTCAGAGTCTGAACAAGATCACGAGGCAGAGCATCGAACCTCTAAGTCCGTACAAAGTTGACCACTGAACAGAACTGAGAAGACAAACGCTGTATAAAACAAGCACACTTACACGCATTGACACGCGGCGAAGCGCACACGAGGGTGTTGGTCGGTGAACATCGGGGTGATCAGCCTATTCGGCGTAAGTATATGGGTGAGAATAGGCTCGGGATGACGTACTCGACTACCTTGCCTAGCTCGTTTTGCATGAACTAGTAGAGTATGAGTAAGTGTGGCGTTCCATATGGCCGGTGTACGTACATCGCTTGTACCTTCCGCCACAGCCGCGATGGCCATCAGCCCAGCATGGCGCTCACGCCAGTCGTGGCTCGCAAGCATTCCCGGGATATGTTGGAATGCGACAGGGAGGACAACCTCTCCACCCAGCGTGCACGCCACACGATCAAGCGCCTGCTCATATAGGTGCGGGTAGGTATCGTCCGTCGGGTCTTCGCTCGCCTATGATGATGCATCAGCTCGGTCGCGCCAGCATGAGTTATTGAACATCACGCACATCCGCTTCCAGCCACGTCTGAAGTTCGTCGTCGCGCAACTGGCTCATCCCATCCAAACACCCGCGTACAAGTGCCGTCACCCAGCCCTCAACACCGCGCACCATGCTCGGACGCGCTTCCGACAAGCTGACCATGAACTCGAGCGCACTCCGTCTACACTCCTCTCCCTCCTCATCCTCGTCTTCCGGTGCAGAAGATGCCCCACCATCCGGTGGGAAGGAGAAAGCTCGTCCGGGCGAAGGGAATGGGCGCGAAACGGTCGGTGTTGGGCCTGGATCGGCCGAGGGAAGTAGTAGGGTTGGTAAGAAGCGTAGAAGAGCCGGAATATGCGGTTCGAAGAGGCGCGGATAGTGCGACGCGAGCGGGGTTAGGGTATTGATGAATGTGGGTAGTTGAGCTTGAGGTAAAGGCGGAAGTGTGCCGAGCATTGGGTAGAGTAGAGAGAGAGATTGGGCGCGTTGGTGTTCGTCTGCGTGGTTGAGATACGCGATCGAAGCCCGTAGAGCGGATAATCGGACCTGTCAGATATCAACATAGAACTCATTTGAGCTGGAAGTCCGACCGATCGAGATGTATGGTAAAAACGCGCGACATGGATCCAATGGACCTGAACGCCATTGCAATGCCGTGCATGCAGCCGCGAAGCAGAACTGCCTCGAGCGCAGAATCTCACGCATCGCAGTTCTGACTGAGAGCCTTCCTGGGCCTTTCAAAGTCCAGAATCACCGAATAAGGTACTTACCGCGACTGATTCTGGATCTTGCAGGCCCTTCTTCAGAACGCCGAGAACCGCGTCGGTCTGTAAATCCATGACCAGATTCGGACAACCCGCAAACAATCTGAACGCGACGTCACGGCTCCCGGCGTCCGCGCCCTGTGCCATACCGAATGCCTGGGCCTGTAGAGCGTGCCATGGGCGTCCGCGGCGCATGCTCTGGTTCGCCAGATCGGCGACGGTGTCTACGGCTTTGCGCCGTACGACGTCGACAGGCTCGTGTGATAGCGCATGGAGCAGTACGCGTTCGATCTGGGTGAGCGTCTGGGATGATAGACGATCGTAGAGCGTTAGACGCGCGTTCCTTGGTGTCGACGCGGATCCGGCGCTTGGGCGAAAGAGTAGACGCCGCAGCAACACGAGTGAGAACGAGCGCATCTACACCCAGTATTTAGATCTGCGCATCACCGCATCATACAAAGATCACACGCACCACTTCGGTATCTGCGCTTGTTGCGAATTGGGTGAGAGCAAGTAGTATCACTTCGGGCGTCTGCTCCAGACGTTCGTTCACGGTACGTTCGGCGCTGCGGGAAATGAGGATCTGTGCAAGCTATACAACCTGAGAAACTCACTTGGATCGAATCTCATTATCGCCTTGTACTAGGTTAGACAGGATCTGTACGAGCTCCTGGGTGACTTCTGGCGGGACTGCGGTGTTAGACTCCATGATCGCACAGTCTGCTCTGCAGAGTCGTGCGTCGAGATGTATCCGTAAACCAAGCGCACAGCCAGCTGTTCTAGATCGGTACAAGCAGCCAGATCAACAGCAAGAGAAGAGAGTGGTCAAACGCGCTAGCCCGCGTCGTGCAGTCGAGAGCGATGGTCGAGAGCAAAAGCCGAAATGTGGCGGCTCGAAAAGTCGAACGCACGCGCGACCGTGGGCCGGCTGTGCATCTTTCCTTCGACCATCACCTACCCTCGCGCCCTCCTCGCCCTTGCGCCCAAGGGTTGATCCCCATCGACATCTCTCGAGATCGGCGTATGGCTACACTCGCTATTCGGACGCGCTCTACGGCATCTGTCTGGCACCGCAGCCCGCGAATGGATTTCCGGCTCATCTGGCCCGGACTCTGGCGTCTAGCCTGTGGACTGTATTGCTTATTGGCGCTCGGACAAACATATCAGCGCTCCGGCGACCGTGTCTTCACCTTCCCATGGCGTAGATCTTGCGACATGTCTTGTGCATACCTAAACCACCCTATGATAATCTGTTTCTGTACAAGCTCTAGCCCAAAACATACGATCTCTACGCGAAACATCTGTTGCTCGTGAAGGACTCTATCTTGCGGCTGTCCTCCATGTGCTTGCGGCGTACCCTAGCGCGCTATACTGTCCCGAGACGGGCCGTAAGACTGATCCGGCGGTACTGATACCGCATCCGGCGTAGGCGTCGGCAACTACACCTCTTGGGATCTGCCAATTCTGGCGCCGTTTCCGCTTTGGAAAATGTAGGGGCGCCAATATACGATCTGAAGTGGCGACGGCTCCGCTTTCTGCGATGTTTATCCTATGCTCCTGCCGTGGCGACCGGACTTGTCTCCGGTGAACAGAAATGTACCGAGGCGACTAGCAAGCATCAGCTTTCATCGGCTTATTTACTACAACGCTGGGGCCATCGCTACGATGTACTTCGGGGCTCTGTTCGGCTACGTGAAGTGTTCATGCTCTCCTGAGGTCCAATATCTAGCTTCTCAGGCCCACTCAGGAGACTCTTGCGCCCGGCTGGGGCGTGGCGGCTTAGAACAACAATCATATGTGGGGGACGCTCTTGGTATACGAAATAGCCCTGGTGTGGCGCCATCATTGTCCATCCGTCATACTACTGTATCAGGTGCCACGTACTCAGCTTGGACGCATCAGTCGCCTACTCTCCAGCGATAGATGTCATGGCTATAGATTTGTGGCTATGTGACTTGGAATGGATACTCGCTTTGGTCTAGATGCAGTAGGTCGATTCCTGGAGGAGATGGATGCAATGAAACAACGTCTTGCGCGGGCCGATGCCACTCACTGGACCATAACGGTCGCATGCGGCGATGCTTGGCTAAGTAGCGTGTGTCTCCTGGAGCTTACGAACACGTTGCCCTTCAACGCTTCAAATGTTGAAGCTTCGAGCTAGCCCACGAAACTGCTTATCCCAGCAACAGCCGCCTCGCCCATGTGCAAACTAGTTTTGTAACCTTGCGACCACGCCTTCTCGACGCCTTGGAGCTCGTACGTATATGATCTCTTATCTCAGTTTCAGTACAGTACACGTCTACGACTGTAGCGCACGTCGATGCCCTCGTTATGGGTATATTCCGCGTACGCGGCCATGAACAGGCCAAGCAAATGTTCACTTCGTTCATCTTGATGATTGGATCGCACGTACCGGTGCAAGTGATATGAAAATAGCAGCGTGATTTGCTCTTACGAGCCTCCTATGAATCCCGGTACGTCGCCAGGAAAGTCAAACGGCAAAGCTACAGTCAACGCCAACGCCCGAGACGACGAGCTGGAGTTATCGGAGTGCGTTGTGCACTGCGGCGCGAGGCTGCATTCCGTCAGCGACGCGGCCGCCGTAGACGCGCATTTATCAAACAGTACCGCGCGAGACGGGCTGCATGAAGCCGAACGCGGTAAGATGTCGGGGCGCAGTCAAAATTGGAACCTCCCCACGAGTCGTACTGGCCGAGCGCCGACAGGCCTGCCTGCTGCTGTACAGCGGCGTGTCATGTACGCAGAAAGGCGCGGTTATAGGACAGGCGACAGCGCGTGCCGCCGCCGTGTTCACGCGCGTATGACCGGTGTCAAAGGCCCGAGCTGGAGCCATGTCTAATAGTTAGACGACGTATATGGAAAGCTTGTCGGAAGTAAGAGTCAAGGAAGAAATGCAAGAAGGAGAGCGGTTCTGTTCGGTGCCTGCCAGCGCCTGACGTAAGCATCACTGGGAATGGCCCCGCAGGAAGGGATTGGTGTGCCCTTGTTCTACCGCTACCGCCATCCCGCCTTGCCTTTGTTCTCCTTCTTTCCGTATTCCTTTCCAGCGCTGCCCTTTGCGCGCTACAGGCCGCTACATCGCTAGACCTTTGCCTTAGTTCTTGATTCCGACGCCGAGTTGACACGGGCCGGACGCGCCGCCGAGAGCCACAGCGTGCGGAGATGGGCAACTGCGTTTCGAGCGCGCAGGAGCGCGAGGAGAAGGCGCGGTCGGACAGGATAGACAAACAGATTGAGGAGGATGGGAAGAAGTTCAAACGGGAATGCAAGATCTTGTTACTCGGTACGTATTCTGTAGTCTCTATACTCGTCCATACCGACGCGCGAACAGGCTCGGGCGAGTCTGGCAAGTCTACGATCGTCAAGCAGATGAAGATCATCCACCAGAACGGCTATACGCCGGACGAATTACTTGCCTTCCGACCGTTGATATGGAGGAACCTGTTGGAATGCGTACATACTGTCATCGAGAGCCTCGAGAAGTTCAATCTGGAGCCTATACAACCGCAAAACAAGGTACGCCCACTGCGTTACATATGGTCTCATATACTTAATCCTGCTCAGGCAAGTCGACAACGACTGCTGGAGTATACTATTCCCGACGACGGCGAGTTCTCCTTTGACCCGGTCGTCGCGAGGCAGGCGTTGGACCTCTGGACGGACGACATCATGCCCGCCCTGATGGAGCACTCTTCCGAGTTCTACCTGATGGACTCAGCTTCCTAGTGCGTCCTTCTCCCCGTAACGCCCGTGCGTCCGAACGCTCGCTGACGGGCGCATCAGCTTCTTTGAGAATTCCCAGCGTATCGGCCAAAACGATTATCTCCCGACCAAGGATGATGTTCTCCGCGCGCGAGCGAAGAGTACCGGCATCACGGAAACACGGTTCAATATGGGTCAACTATCGTACGCCCTCTCACACTACGCCCTTGCTTCTCCACGTCTCATCACGCATGCAGAATACACATGTTTGACGTCGGTGGTCAACGGTCAGAACGGAAGAAGTGGATCCATTCGTTTGAGAGCGTAACAAGTATCATCTTCTGCACTGCGCTCTCCGAGTACGATCAGGTCTTGCTGGAAGAGAAGAACCAGGTACGCGCGGTGTTGAGTCGGCTTTCACGAGCCTCGCTGACGCCACCCTACAGAACCGCATGGCCGAGTCTCTTGTCCTGTTCGACTCCGTCATCAACTCAAGATGGTTCTTGCGAACATCAATCATCTTGTTCTTGAACAAGATCGACGTCTTCAAGAGCAAGCTGCCCAAAGTCCCATTAGAGAAGTTCTTCCCGGAGTACACCGGAGGCTCGGACGTCAACAAGGGCGCAAAATACATCTTGTGGCGGTTCATGCAGACGAACAGGGCCCGTCTGAGCGTCTATCCGCAGTACGTCGACCCCGCGCGCTCGTCGCGCCACCTTGCTGATTTTTCCTCTGTCGCGCAGTATCACGCAGGCGACGGATACGTCAAATATACGGCTCGTATTCGTCACCGTGAAGGAGACGATCCTTCAGAACGCGTTGAAGGAGTCCGGCATTCTCTAGTCTCGCATTCTTCGTCCGCTCGCTCTCGTCGTTTTGCTATCTGTATGCAGATTCTTTTCTCTGGTAGGTTCTCTCTATCCCCATCCGGGGTTTTAGCTCGCACATGCTCATGTCCAAGTTCGCAGATCATCGTCCGCCTCGTTCGCGCGCCACATTCCACTCGCATTCGCCATACCTCCACATGCACAATCGTATACTTCCCCAGCCACGCTCCCATCCACGCCCACGCACCGCCGCCGACGGTGGTCCAAATCTTGATGCGAACTCTATAGCCCGCATCCGCTCGTTCCCAGCAAAGCGCGAAGACGCCCGACGGATCTGTTGTAGGCCTTGATGCGGACGCGCGCGTTTTGACAGCGAGCGCGCTACGCCGTACAGCAGCAGGCCATTGACACCGCATCAATCGGGCCGTCGATCCCGTCGACATGCCCGTCGCATCCGCTCCCGCGCGCAGGCCGCAGACTCGCCCTCGTCTCGTTCCCGCTTTACGCCCCCTCCACATCCCATCCCCAACCCCGATTATCCAATACTACCGCCCTCGTCGCAGACGTGTATACATAGTACCATATCCATTATCCATACCATGCCCCATCCCGCGCCGCGGCCTATGCCGCGGTCCTTTACGGACGTTCTCTATATTCATCCATCTCCCCATCCTGTCTTCTCTCCCCTCGCACCTTTTGTCGTCTGGCCCCGGTCCGCTATCGGAGGGCCTGTTATTTTTCTTCTTGTTCGCTCGTGTCCAAGTTCTCCCTCGTTTTACGTCTAGCTGGATAATACAATGTTTCTCGTTCAGGGTGGAATCAAATGTGTGGTATACGTAGATTTCGAGAGACGCTTTTGGACGTGCTGTGGAATGATCAAGACTCTAGTTCGGCCTGCCAGCTTGAACTACGGCGTAGTACACTCAATGCCAGCATCGGCCATCATGACAGTGTGTGAGGAGTAAGTAATTGATAGCCTGCGTGGGAATCGCGCCACAAGTACTGGCGCGCGCAAGTGAATCCGCGAAGCCTTCGACCAGACCACCATCATGGTCTGAAGGCTCACAATCCCATATTCTTGCTTGAGTATTCATTCGCTTTATCTAGCTCCGTATTCCGCGAAATCTGCTACTGGTCGCATACAACTTCGTGTAGAGACTGACACGTCTTTGTCCTGCCCGTCATCTGGACGTTTGGGCTTGGTGCGTTTTCTCTTCATACCTCATAGTCCAGTACTTATTGAAGCACGCAGATGAACGCCTTGAAATGCCTATCCCGCTTGTCTCTCCACAATAACTTCGCTACCTGTGCCTCACCTGCTCGCTACCCTCACGCTTTGCCAACTGCTGTCCGCTTCGCCTCGTCGATATCCGCCCCCGTCTCACCATCACCATCCACTCATACGACCGAAGTACCGAAGAATGCCGAAAAAACCCTCCATCAGAAGCTCGTGAAGCTGCTCCCCCTCTGGTCCACCTCCCGCACCGTCCGCGCGCGTCTACGCTCCTTCGGAATATCCAAAGACGACCTGGACCCCCTCCTGAAGCTCTTCTCCGAAGAGATGCGCGACGGGTCCGCATGGAACCCCATCTCTACCGATGACGCACAAGTCGAACGCCTATGGCACGCGCTCGCAGCGGACAAGACGATGGCGTCTACCGACCGCACGCTCAACCAGCTGCTCTACAGCTGGGTCGCCGACAACGCGTCCGATCCCGCGCTCGCGAAGGTTGTAGGCATTGAGTCGCTCTCGCGCATAGTCAACGTCGCGAAGGAGCTCGATTATCGCCGTCTTCCCGAGCGCTTTCCCGAGGCGCGGCGCATACGGCGGAAAGTCATCATGCACGTCGGCCCTACGAACTCCGGCAAGACGCACAACGCTCTGCGCGCACTCGCTGCGGCGCGTAGCGGCCAGTACATGGGACCGCTACGCCTGCTCGCCTTCGAGATCTACTCCCGTCTCAACTCGGGCCAGATCATCCCCCTCGGCGCCGACCCCGCCTCAGACCCGCATCCCGAGCTAGATACGCAAACAGGCTTCGACGCGACTCTTCCTCTAGAGAACGGCAAACCCGCTGCACCTGCTATACGCACGCTTGGCGATGCGCGCTACGCGCGCAAGTGTAACCTCGTCACCGGCGAAGAGCGCCGCGAGGTCGCTGGCGCCAAACTATTCGCGTGCACGGTCGAGATGTGCGATATGAGGACGCTCCGCGATATCGCTATCATCGACGAGATACAGATGATAGCCGACCCCGACCGTGGCGCTGCCTGGACGTGCGCTGTACTCGGTGTGCCGGCGCGCGAAGTCCACCTCTGTGGCGAAGAGACCGCGGTGCCGGTGGTCGAGGCGCTGCTGCGCGAGACTGGCGACGAACTTGTTGTCAATCGATACGAGCGGCTGAGCCCTCTGCGCGTCGCGGACGAAGCACTGGGAGACCTGTCCAAAGTCCAGAAGGGCGACTGCGTCGTTGCGTTCAGCCGTTCGCGCATCTTCGCGGCTAAACAGGAGATCGAGCGCCGGACTAAACTTCGGTGTGCGGTTGCGTACGGACGGCTGCCGCCCGAGGTCCGCAGTGAGCAGGCCGCGCTGTTCAACGATCCTAACTCGGGCTTCGATGTGCTTGTTGGCAGCGACGCGCTGGGCATGGGTCTCAATTTGAAGATTCGGAGAGTGATCTTCACACAGGTCTCGAAGTACAACGGGATCAGTTCGGGCGACGAGCAGCTCACTACGAGTCAGATCAAGCAGATAGGAGGGCGTGCTGGACGGTTCGGGTTGCATGGAGATAAGGACGCGAGTGTGGGGATCGTCACGACGCTAAAGGAGGAGGATCTGCCGGTCGTTAAAGCTGCGTTCGATGCACCTATCTCCACGCTCCCCTCAGCATACGTTGACTTGACGGAGGGCGCATTCGGTCGCCTCATACGCGCGCTACCTGAGGGTGTGTCCGCGGTAGACGCCCGTGATACGCTGACGTTCTGCGCTCGTCTTCCGCCGCATATTGAGGCCACGGTGCTGGGCATGAAGACGCGCACGAAGCTCGCCGACGCCGACGCCATCGTCAGCGGCCTTGCGATTAGTGACCGCGAAACAGCGCTAGATATCCCTTATCCAGCCCTCGACGAGGATACGACGACTGTCATCCTCGAGCTGCTGCGGGAATTCGCGGAGAACGGTCGGACGGATATAACGCGCGCCACAGCTACCGCGGGCTTACTGCAAGCTCTCAATGATGCAGCGAAGGCGCAACAGGAAGGCGGTGCCGTTGCGCGGCCTACGGAGACATTGACGAGACTCGAGACGTTGCACAAGGTGCTCGTCGCGTACGCTTGGGCGTACTGGAAATGGCCGTCGGCCTTCTATGCTCACAACACCGTCGTTCAGCTCCTGCGTTCTGGCGAAGGGTGTATGGATTATATCTTGCGGTCTTGGGCGAAGCATGCTACGAGCCCGCGGAAGAGGAGGGACGGTGGGAGAGGATTCTCGAAGACGACAATGTTATAGACGCTCCATCTCGCTACTTTACTTTGTACAGGATGTAATCTGGATACTAATACCACTGCTTCCTCTGTTGCCAACAGCTACCATACGTTCTGCCCGCCCACTGCACCCGGGATATCCTGCGGCATAGCCGAGCTCTTCGGCGCGGTCTCCTTGATCACGAAGGCCTCCGCGTCCTTGCGATATTCCACTTTCTCCACCCGCACCTCGCCTTCAATCAACTGGTACACGTACGTGACTACAACCGGTCCTTGGATATCCATCAAGGCGAACGACGGTATCGGGTCCCTGCGTGAAGTCAGAAAGACGTCACTAGAGACGAGACCGCCAAGACGTACCCGTTGAACGCACCGGTCCATGCGCCAGTAGCTGAGCCGGGGTTTAGGAAGAACCTTCCGTCGCGCTCGATGGCCTGGAAGCTGTAGACTTATGAGTATCACTGCAATGTGGCTAGGTGGATCAACGCACGTATGTGTATGGCCAGAGATGAGAACATCAACATCCAGCTGTCGCGCAATAGAGCCCAGGGAGTCAAGATCACCAGTCGGTATGCATTGATGTCCGTGTACAACGCCTATGCGTATAGGCGAATGGTTGACGGTCATCGACAACGGGAAGGCGGCAGACTATGCAGAAATGAGCGGAGGAAGGGAGAAGACGTCTTTCAGAGCGCGTACAACAGAGAGGGTGACACATACCTCATCGTAGTCTCCCCTTACTACGTGTACATCTGCGGCTATGGTACGCAGATACTCGTATGTCTCGCGGTCACAAACATTGCCGGTGCATAGTATCTGCTGGATCTTACCCGGCACAAGCAGCTTCTTGAACTTCGCGGGAAGATCGTGTACTCTATGCGGTATATGTAAGTCTCCAATGACGAGAACGAGCACCATCGTATAAGCAGCAGATACGCAGTGAGAGTAAGAAGAGAAGGGCGTTGCGCGTTGGTTGCGCGTGTCAAAGGGGGAGTGGCGCGTCTGTTCGCACCTCTCCTGTTTACCACCACCATGGCTGATAGCTTGGCGCCTCAATGCACTCCACTCAAACTTGAATATGACGCGTGCTTCAATACTTGGTTCGAAGGCTATCTGGAACCCGCCGTGGCCGCCTCCTCGTCCGACCAGCGCACCCGCGCCGCATACTCGAAGGCGAAAGCGAAGGAGTATCAGCAGAAATGCGGAAAGGTCTGGTTGGGCTATCGCGAATGCGTACAGGTGCGTATATACCTTTTGATGCTCGGCCATATCTGACAACTGTATTAGAAAGCTATTGCGGACAAGGGCTTGACTGAGCTTTTGGACCAGGCGCGAAAGGACAACCCTCTGAAGGATCCCTCTGCGATACCTCTAAACCATTCGTCGTAATAACGCTCTCGCGATACGCGTCCATCAATGTATACACAATGTCGTCGAAACTACCCTGCTTGAGCTATTCATCCGCGACCGTAAGCCCGTAGCGCCCGCTGGCCTTCATATTCGTTCTTAGCGACGGCTCCAGGGTCTAGGCGAACCTGCTACACCACTTGCCTGGCGTCAGCACCGACATTGAGGAATACATGTGCGATGTGGAGGATGTACGGCTTCGCAAACCGTCGTTTCACGATTGGTACAACGCTAGCCAACCTCGCTCCGTCGCGGAACACACACGCCTCATCGACACACCGGGCACTGTCGTCTCGGACCGCTCGTAGATCAGACATATCGCATCACCGCCCACCGTGGGTATTGTCTATGTGCTGCCCGGAGGAAGACGCCTGTCCTGGCGCCGCGCACACCTGCCACAACTCCGATGGGAACTGCCGGGCCATAGCAGCTTACAAGAAACTCGTGGCCTCGCCGGATTCTACCATTCATCATAACACGCCTCTCGCTAGCTGCTCTAACCAGCTCTACTCCGCGTTTACTTCGCTTTCATACGGAGACTCGCCACGCTCTTACTCGCTATTGCTCGCGTTCTTGAACCTCGTGCACTGCACTCACTGGCATTCGCCCTCGCTCGCGAGCACGCTCTCAAATCGGCAAACGCTACTTGCCGCGCGAGCTTATTCGCTCACTAGAACCGCTCTTCGAGGCTACGCTGACGGTCTTGCTGCATTGTGCGCGTTAAACGTTATGCACATGGCTATCCTCGGCGATGTCAGCGCTGGCATTGAGCGAAGCGGCGGGCGTTTTGCGAATGTGGTATCCGACTCAATACCTAGCGGAGTATTTGATGCGCACATTCAGGCGAACCGAGCGTACCCGGTAGCACTTGGCAACCACGACGCCATCGTCCACCTCGTCCGCGCAAGGCAAAGTACGCGAGCCTCCAAGCGGAGAGACGAACATATACGGCTGCGTCAGCGAGCACACGGGCGAGCTATTCTGGCAAAGGGATGAAGTTGCTGTACTTGGTACTGTTGTACACTGTAGCGCGCTCGTGGCGCCTCCATGTAGTAGTGTTCACATAGCTGATTCTCAAGTATCTCAAGAGCGAGGAAGACCCGATGATAACGGATATCGGGGCGAAGCTAATTATATACACAGTTCTATATAAGTACCCAATCAAGAGGTGCATAATACGTCCAGTTGAAACTCAGCCAGAGTGTATGTAATCCGCCGTGGGAGTAGGAAGTCCGCGCATCCGCTTGGCGCGGCGTCCGAGGCGCGGCTCTGTGACCTGTCCACGACCGCCATCTCCCTGTGCTGCTGCTGCGAAGCTCTGTCCGCCTAGCTCTTTCTTGCTCTCAGGTCTGCTATCATGCATTCTACCCGCTCTCTTCAGAATGTCCGGCTCGACGACGTACCCGCGTACACGAGTTTAGCGGCAATTGACTCGAAAACCCCCGCCCGTCCCTCGCTCCTCGCTTCGCGCAGTCACCCTGCCAATACGACAACCGGCACATCACCGACTTGACTACAGACGAACTCTGAGTCTGACGTGCTGGGGCTTCGAAAGCGTCCAAGGCTACAAACTCACCGGACTTTCGCATTGACACGCCCACGGTAAGCCTCTTTATCCCGTGCACAGTCGACTCCCCAGTCATTAACTGGGCGTATAGATATCTACGAAACAATACAGTCGCCCGCGAGAGTTGTCCAACGGAGGCTCATGTTCGCTGCTTGCGCCAGTACGCGTGCGCGACGACACCGTCACACACCCGCCGTGTTACTTGGCGTTGATTGCACACGAGTCGTACTCGCCCAGCGCCACGCGACACTCGTACTATCGAAGTACTCAGCTCGCGGCTGCACGTCTTACCAACGGGCTCCGTGGTCTCTTGCGAGGAGTCACGCCGACTTACACCCAGCGGGTGTGCCCGTGCTCATGGGCTCGCCTGGTGAGGCCTCTACGGCGCTCTACATTAAAACAACGAGCGTTCAAGGAGGACTGTGCTCGGAAACTTCGCGCACGTTCTCGTGGACTCAAATAAGAGGCGTTGTTCGCGTACGTAGACGAGGTACGTGCTTCTCGTATGGTTACCGGACATGCATAGCTGATGATACAATGTGTGCGTACAGTTGATGATGATCGATGCCGCGTGCGCGGACGACATTATACGCTCCGCCGATACTGCCCGCTGTCCGGCCGTCATGCCGGGGTGCGATGGTCGAGAGCACGACCTCTCTGCCACAGCTCGCGTCACCACGCCATAGTCACCGTGCCCCACGAATGCCTACTTCGGGTGGCATTGGTGCAACACGCCAGTACGGTGCAAGACTCGCGCCAACCGTCACGTCCATAGACACACGAATAATATTGCGCCGTATGTGACAACGACCGCTACGGCGACTACATCTGCGGACCGTACCCGCTCTCCGGTCCTATGAAGGTCCACACCGCCGCCGGACGACTCGCTTGCACACGCGTCCTCATCGGCTGTGCACGGACTTCCACCGCCTGTGGTTCCCTATGGCGGG